TTGAGTAAATCAGTCAAACACATAAACAAAGGCCAAATATATTTAAAAAAAACACACAAGCGAGAAAGTTACTCTGATATTGAATCCAATCAAGTCCCATCCAATTAACAAAAAATCCAACACTCTGTCCTGAAGACAGAACCCAGAGTAACCACTAACCAGGATGACAGTCTGTAACACAGTCAGGAGACCTTTACAAACTGCCCCGCCCCCTCGCACACAGACAGGGGAGAGAGCTCTCTCGCCTGGATTGGAAAGATCGAAAATACATCATAGACGCATTTTGTAGTCTTATTGCATATTAGAAAAGGAGTTGGCGAAACTAAAACTGCAATATAATGTTCATGTAGCAATAATACATATGACATATAGGTTTTAAATGTTTCCAGTACCGATAAAAAGACCACTGTTGGTACCACTGTCTTTAATAATTCCGGCCCGGGGCCGTTTAATACCGGGGCTCGGTACCCATCCCTACATGGGGAGAGGCGCAGCATATTGCTAAGGACTAAATGCGATGGAGAGTTCTCATCTCAGCTGCAATGACATGTCTGGAAACCCCCTCTAGGGTGCCCCATGCATAGCGCGCATATAGCATGATAGGTCCACTTTAACTTTGGATAATAACACGGGAGAAATGAGCGGAAGCGCTCTCTTTTCCTCTCTCTCCCTCTCCTGACAGCCCGTCAGTATCGTCTCATGCAGCTCACTGATCCAGTAATGAGTGACCCGACAGTGAAGAATAAACATATTTATAACTAGTTTAGCTTGTTCCAGAGGTAGATAAAATAGCTAAGTGTGTAAGCTATTGTGTGTGTAAGCTATTTACACACACACTCTTAGTGTGCGTGTTGCTCCGCTCACCGGTCCGTCACAGCGGGTGGAGCTGCAGGATTTCTGCTTCACACACGTTGTATACCGCTATTTTATTGTCCTTTTCGGACACCTTAAAATACTGCCAGTCTGGTGAAGCCATTTTAGCGAGCTTGTTTTGCCGCGCACTGAGAAAAGTGTCATCATTTTACGTCATGCGATCGGCTCTCGCGATCGGCATTTTTAGAGAGCACCGATTGATCGGTAGAGAGTGAGTATCGGCCGATATCGATCGGCGGCCGATCGATCGGAGCATCCCTAGTTTTTATATAAATGGATCAGGGAAAAAAAGTGAGCGAATCTTTTTTCCTGAAACTGTCAGAATCTCTTTACACGGAGGGGACAGACTACAGTAGTACGGAGTAAAACTGTAACTTCCTCAATTTTATCCAGTTTTAGTGACCTGGGGGAGTTTTTCAACTTAATAAAACGAATACACAGATGATCTATCAAATGATTTTGACGAACCTATTTTAGTTTGACTATTTTGACCAGTGCAGAGACATTATAAAAGACGGAAAATAAAATGTACAAAGAATTAAAGTAATTGCACTATTTACTATATGAATAAATACACAAATACGAATAAGTGAAACACTTTATGCATTATCAACGTTTTAATTGTTTATCTGATAAAAATGTTCTAATGTGAGCTGGGGGGTGGACTTGGGGTCATGACCTCAGAAACTGCCATAACATAAGGCTTGTTTGAGACAAGCGAGACCTGCGCAGACCTGCGCAATTGCGATCAACGTCTTGCTAGTGCGTTGCATGATGGTTAGTCATTTTGTCCGACTTGCTCTGGAAGCTCGCCTACATGAGACGTTGAAATCTCGCAGGACAAAGACGCCCGCAGACTTGAGAGCGAGGCGCGGCGAGGCGGCGCAGTTTCTCTCCACGGGCTGCGGAAGCGAAATGCTTGATGGGAAACGACTCGCTGGTATCTTGAGCTGAGCGCTCATTGGTGGTTTTTACCCCGTGCTGGTGATGAAACTCTCCATTGGCTCGGCAAAAGTGTGTTGTTTTGTGTCAGTTTTACGTCGCCACTTCCATTCACATTTTTCATCATTGTTCCACAATGTTTATCATCATTAAATTAATATCTATATATTTTATACTATACTTGCACTGCTTACCGTTTTCATACTTTATATACATTAGCATATTCATTCATACAACACACTGTTTATACTTATTATTATGTATATACTATGCAGAGCCTCACCTGTCATACTCCAATGTAACGGAAAAACAACTAAAGAAAAACTAAATAGTAATAATAATAAAATGTCTCCACTGATCTGTGTTGTAAGTGTGATTTATGTATGATTCCAATCGCTTTTTATAGTCAAAATCAGCAAATTTGCCGAGCTCCGCTACGGGAGTGAGGCAGGGACGTGCTCTGCCTCTCGTAAGCCCACAGTAACTTGCTGGAGCACGGGCACTAATTTAGCGCGGGCACTTATTTTGTGAGCGCGCTCAAGCCATTTACTGTGGGCTGGGGGAGGCACAGATGAGATCTGCCTCACCTCAGAATGCGTCACCCCACAGAAGCTGGCTGGAAAGCGGGCCCTAAGCGCATGCCTGTTACCATCTCACTGTAGGTCACCAATGTAATGTTTGTAGATCCCTTTATTACATTTATCCTCGCCATCCATAGTCTCTAAATAACTTATTTCACATATATATGATATTTAGGCTCGCTGGTCTCATCATACAACGGCAATGAGAAAAGCACCAGGAGAGGCAGCCATAACCTCTGCCGCACTGAAGGGGGCGCATGTGAGCCCACAGGTTCTTGTTGCTACTGTAATTCTACGCAGACACGGTAGACGCAAACAACAAACTAGACTTTTGAAACTACAGGAAGATAAGGAGGACTTTTACAAAAAAGTAATAGAGATTGTTGTCCAGAAGGATAGCATGGACTTCATCTTCAAGTCAAGGTAAGACCACATTTGTAATGAAAATGGGATCTTACTAAGAAAGAACAATCCAATATTTAGATTTTGGGTATCCTTTTGTTGAACGGTCTGTTTAAAATGAATCGAAGCATCAGACTAAAAAAGCTTTTGAAAATAACCGAATATTTCGATTAAGGTCAAAATATAATATTTGTAAATCTGACTCAGTGAGTCAGTGCCTCACCAGCCATGCACCTCACCGCACGTCACTGCTTAGTACATATCCGACATTAACGATTAAACACATTTGTGCATTCTTTATAAATGCAAACCGAGTCAAGCCGACTCCGGAGGTGGCGGTATGCACCTTAAAGTTGTTTGCAATCCGCCAAAAAACCGAGAGAAGAAGAAGAAGAGGAAGAAGCCGACTCCGAGCTGTCCGACTTCAGGCGAGCTTTTTGAGACCTCCCCCGGCTGCGATCGGCTATTCTCGTCTACTTTCGAGGCGAGCCGCAGCTCGTCTCAAATGCCCCTTTCACACCAAAGCGTTTTCAGCTCCGGCTCGGAGCTGGAGCCTGAAAAGTACCGGTTTTTCCTGTTCACACCGCAGCGGCGCCGCCTCTTAGCTCCGGAATGCGGTTCACTTCCAGCTCCAAAAAATTGTCGGTCTAGAGGCAAGAGCATCGGAGCTAAGAGGCGGCGTCGCTTACGTCTCTCTTACGTCGAGGCGTGCAGGAAACTAAACCCACCTACCCTGAACATGGGTCGACTGAAGAGTCTCGTCATGCCTGCCTACAAGCAGTAGCGCTGAGCAAAGTGACTAGAACGCAACCACACCCTTATAAAAAAAAACTTACTTTATAAAGTCAGGCAACACTAACCAGGCTTCGTGTGATTCTGTTTATTTGTACCTTACTTTGACCATCCGTTCGCTGTTATTGATCATTGTGGAGAGCAGGCAGACGTTTTGTTTTGTATTATAGCAGCTATCGGATGGAATCAATACATGGGCTGCACAGGTTGTCATGTCCGACTATCACAAGTAGAATCATAATGAAAAATACGCCGGTAAAACGGCTTAGCAAGTAGTCCGTTTAGCTTCGGTTGCTATGCTAACATCACCCATGTTATACCAGAGAAACTTTCATAACAGCGTTGTGATGCCAAACAGCGTCAATTCAGACTGACACACATTCACTTAAGGGGAACTGGGGATATGTATCAGCTGCTTGTGTGACAGTCAGACAGTGAATACTTTAGAGCCGTGTGAGCTAACCCGGAGCTAACGGGAGAATAAACTCCGGTGGAAGAGCAGCCAGCACTGCAGCGGTCGGTAAATGCAGCTGAAACACATTAATAAACAATGAACCACGGCACTCTGGAGAAAAGTATAAGGTTGGAGAAGTCGTTATTTAATTTAATCTGGCTTCGTATGATTAAAAGCAACACGATCATCGACCCGACGCAGTCCCCCGTTGTTGTTGTTGTTGTTGTTGTTGTGAGCTCCGATGGGGAGAAAATCAGCTATGTAAACGGTGACGTCATGACGCAGCAGCGGCAGCTCTGGGCGGTGTGAACAGAGCGGGAGCAGAAAAGGGAAACCGGAGCTGAACCAGAAAAGCTCTAGCTAGGAGCTGGAAAGGGAAAAGCGCTGGTGTGAAAGCCGCAAGACAAGCCTATCGCGTTGACAATGGCTGGCTCCATCCTAAAAGATGTGTCCCGGCAGAAACCATTAGTGTAAGAGCAGTGGTGTAAATTAACTAAGTACATTTACTTAAGAACAATTTTGAGATACTTGTACTTATTTCCATGTTTTGCTTCTTTGTACTTGTACTCCACTACATTTATTTAATACCTTTAGTTACTTTACAGATTTGGATTAATGGTGTGAAATATAATCAAGTGTTAAATCAGACTTTAGTTCCACCTGGAGTAAATTCACAAGCTACCCTGCAGTATACAAAGTCATTAAAACTAGCTGCACCTTTACCAGCTTTGATAACACTTTAATGATCAATCATTATAAAACATATCATATTATTCTGAAATGGACCTATTTGCACACTGACTACTTTTACTTTTGCTACATAAGGTATATTTTGATGCTTATACTTTTGAATTTCAACTTTGACTTGTAACAGAGTATTCATACACTCTCTGGTACTTCTCCACCTCTGTGTCAGAGTCCCTGCAGTTCAGTGACCCGCTGGGTCTGCCTCTTACCTCCGAACAGATGAGGCGAGAGGTGTGCTGGTAGAGATCCTATCAACAGCCGGGGAGCCTCCTGCCCTCCAGCCCGCTGCCGGTCCGCCTCCTCCGGGCTGCTCCCCCCGGACTCCTGGGAGCTGTAGGTTCCGCTGCTGTTGGGAATGTTTATCCCGGACTGAGGTCGGGTCCCGGGGCCTCCGGACCCCCCCGCAGACCGGGCCCTGGCTCCATGGTGCTGGCTGGTGCTGGACGAGGCTCCGGACGCACTGTAACCATGGTACCTCACCCCCCCGGTGGTGGTCCTGTTACCGTTGCTGCTGGACGTGCTGGAGGGCAGGTCCGAGCCGGAGTAGGCTCTGGTCCGTCCGTTAGCAGCTGGGTTAGCAGTGGGGCTGCTCTGCTTTGCCCCCATGTTAACCCCAACCGACTTTGATATATTAAAGAGTCGCTCTGTGAGCCACTGCGGGACAGTACGCCAGATTTACGCCGGAGGACAGAGGTCTCTACCGGACACACGGAACGGTTCTGTCTGGAAGCTAAGAGAAGTAGAACAAACTCTGCGCTATGAACCCGGAGACATTATTAAACAGCAGTGAGTGAAGAGTTGAAGCAGCTGTAATAAAGCAGAAGATGTGTGTGAAACTTCAGCAGCCGTCAGCAGTGTGTTCCGTCACTAACAACGGTGGCTGTGCGGCAGGTAACGTTAACATGGATCCCTCCTCCTCAGAGCTGCTGCCGTGGACCCGCTGCTTCCTCCTCAGTGTCCGCCCCGCCATGGCTCCCGAGCAGCCTGAAGGAGTGAAGAGCCGGGCTCCTCTCACCTCCCTGCCTAACAACGCATTGCTCAAAGGAAGGATGGGATGGAGGAGAAAGCCCAGCACAATACCGTTTTATCAGCGGCACCAAGGAGACTCTCGGTGCCCAGGCTAGCTGTCAAGCTAGCTGAGGTGAGCTCACCAGCGCTTCCGCTAACAATTTTCAAAGTAAAGGCGTTGCGGTGTTTTATAGGGAGCATGACAGCTTTCCAGTTTATTTGGTCCCTAAAGACAGCTAAACACAATCTCAATAAATTCGACCTTTTGTAGTTGTCAGTTTTAAAGAAGTCGTGTTACCTATATTGGATTTGAATATGATTATGTCTGTCATGCTGTGCTTAGTGGTAAAACATGTTAAGGTCAAGGCCTAACCTTGAAGGAATAACATGCAGCATTATCCATAGAAAACAATGCAGCCTGGACTTTGGGCTCATACAATAAATGCCCTCTATTGTACCTTGTGACCCCAGTTGGGAGCCATTCTCATTGCCAGCTTTTCCAAAAAACACGACTTTGTCACATCGCTGGGCATCTAACTCCGGGGCAAAAGCCTGTGCCTTTTACATGTTTACTAAGTGCTTCTTGTTTACATACTCCTACCCACAATGCTACCTACTAAAGGCTACCTCTTAGGCCCCTGGAGGTAATAATTCGGCCTTGATCTTTACTGTTCAGAGTGTATTTATTACCTTTTAGTAAATTAAGGGATAAGGTGTTGCGAAATTATATAATGCAATTTGTACGACAAGTTATTTAACTTTATATGTAATGGAACAATTTAACTTTATTGGAAACTTGTTTGATCAAATCTTCATTACGTGCGAACCGATCTATGAAATATATTTCCAGAAGGGATTTCCTGCTCTTATTGTGAAATCGCAAAGGTATTATTTTGGTCTGTGTGACTTGATACACTTGGACCATAGCATCAGCTGACGTCAGCAGCAGCGTCGATAACATCAGAGAGTGTCACGCTACAGTCATGGTCCTCAAACTGCTCATTCTGATGCTTCTAATAAACAAACAAACAACATGCAGCATTCACCTTGTTGTGTTAGGACTAATCATACTTTTTTTTCTTCAGTTCGTGCAGTAACACCCACCAGATAATGTCCACAGATTGTGTACCTTGGTTAGTAAGTTTGCAGAAACACTAATACCATGATAACTCACTAAGAGATTCAAACAGCTTTGTACATAATACATATTATTAATAGTGAACTTTATTTTATAGCACTATTCATTGATAGGTGTAGTGCTTTCACATAAAGCTAACCACATTTAATACACACAGAAAATACAATGAATTATAAATCAGCCTATATGCATACGTATAAGTGTTTTTCTAACGTTTTTAAAGTGTTATAAACGACCAGACACAGAGGCTTTCTGTCAACAGCACAGAGCTGCTGTGGAAGGTGTCTCACCCTCACTGTGTTAATCCATCTAATCCCCTCTGTCTGGAAATAGGTTATATGTCCAGTGTTGACCACAACAACATCCATCACCACCTGAACAGCCACATGCAGCAAACCACCATAACATTAACCTCAAAGGCGTGAGAATGTGTTTGAATGAGGTCTGAATGAGCTGCAGTGTGGGAGCATTATTTAGGTTTCAATGGTGAGTGGACTTTAAGCTTCTAAAACTGCATTGAGATGCAGTAAAGATTTCCCAATTTGGGATCAATAAAGTACATCTTATCTTATCTTACACAGAACACATTTTTTTTTTTGAAACACACAATTATAATAATGCTATTTAACAGATTTTTTTAAAAGATATTACTTATCTAATCAATCATCAGATCTAAAAATAAAGCATTATTTCTTTCATTTCTTTTCGTTGGATAACACTATGTGTGATTTTCCACAACAAAATCCCCAAACTGTATTGTAAAACTGACCTGGCACCATATAGACTGTATAAATCAGGGGTGGGAAACCTTTTTCCTATCAAGGGCCATTTCAATTTTTCCAACATCCTCCGAGGGCCTTACAAATTATTGAGCTCAACATCTGCAAAAAAAAACTAAAATCAGCGCAATCTTTTCGCCTTTCTTTCATGCTGTGCAAAGAAAAAGCATGTTAATCCAGATATCTTTCTGTTTTATTTTCAATGTGTTTATGTTATGCTTTGGAGAGAGTGTGTAAAAGGTGTAAGGCCAAAAATGCAGACACTCATAGCAAGTACCTTGAATTCCAGGAATTTAATGAACACTTCAATGCAACAAACTGGATCATAACATTTTAGCCAATTAAACTGTGTTACATGATCTTATTGTTTTCATGCTCTCTATTTTAAATAATGATATTCCTGTTGTTTTTAGATTCACTGATATAAAGCAAGTTGAAGTCTGACACAACATGAGAGGTGCAATATAAATAAAGTTATTATTATTGTAGGAGCCAGTTTAAAGTGGACCTATCATGCTATATTTAAATGATATATTGTAGGGCCATACCTATATAAGGTATATTTATACGTTTCTGTTTTCAAAATACCAAACAGATCATGCATTTTAGCCATGCCTCATTTCGCTCTATGTGCTGTTTGCTGTCTACGGGGCTGATCTCTGTGAGCTGCAGCTGACCACGCCCCCCTGCAGGAGAGGGAAGCCGTGCTCTGATCAAGTCAAGAGGGGGAGAAAAAAAGATCTCCGTCCTCCGTGTTTTATTTATATATACAGTCTATGGTTTTATTATATTATTATAGTCCTATAGAGTCGTTATTCATTTGTTTTAAAGCTCAATAAATAACAAAGAAGACCTTTGACCGGCACTTTTCTAATTTTGTCCGGAAGATTTAAACTTTAACGGACATCTTGACCGGCGAAAGAAACTGAAACTGAAACTCTGCCGCACGGTCCCCTCGTTCCTTGGAAGAGGCGGAGAGGTGGGTGTTTGTCATCTGCTGGTGGACTAACCGGAGAGAATTACAGTGCTTGCCTCGACGGGGAGGGATTGCATTGAATTAAAGCAGCAGGAGCAAACGCTTGCCTCGGGGAGGGAGAAAAAAAGCCACAGCGGAGAATAAACAGAAGGGTAACCATGGTAACTATGGGCGGGAAGCAGGGGCGTCGCCTGGACCTTAAAACATTCGGGGCTTAGCCCACAGTGGCGGCGGCACTACAGTGGCATTTTTCACTGCAACACTCCCCACACGCACACACACAGTACACCCGCGACTGTTACAATGAAGGCTCGATAATCAGCTCACGGCATATAGGTAGGGGTAAAGTGGTATTTTTTATGAGTGGGGGGCTCACCTCCTCTAGGGGGGTCCGGGGGGATGCTCCCCCGGGAAGATTTGTTTTTAAATATTGAAGTTAAATGCATCAATCTGGTGCACTTTGAGAGCAAAATGAAGAGATCTATGGATACCTCTCTCAACACCCTTATGAAGCAGAACTGTAAACAGATGTACTTTTTCTTTATGGATATTTTACTAATCACTCCCCTTTTAAACTCTATTCTTGTTTTACTGCCATATAGTATTTCATAACTGTTTTTCCTTTATTCTCTTATTTTTTTTATAACTATAATGATCATATGAAGGTGTGCCGCGGAAATAATCTTTTGAATAATTTGTGACCAAACCGTTTGAGACCCACTGAGATAACTTACTAAAGTTAACTATCTAAACACTCAGAGAGTCCTTTAGCTCACCTGAGTCTCTCAGTCTGAGAGGAGAGGACTATCCTCCAGCTTCTTGTGGAACAAACAGCTCCTTATGTCCATTAGTGCAGCTAGCTAACCAGATGCTAACAACACGGTCCATGCTGATACCGGTCCCTCCCTCCCCCTCTCTCCCTCTCTCTCTCTATCACACTAAATGCGCTATTGCCACACACACACACAGAGCTGAGCTTGAATGACACAAGCACACGTTTATTTCCATGCAACTCTCTGATTGGTCTGGTGTCATGCCTCTGTTGCATTCACTGAACACGGGAAATTACAGTGCTGCCGTCCTCTCTTATGTCATGATGAGGTTCACGTAAAGCACGGTTAATGTATTATATTATTGAGGGAGAATTGTCCGGGGCTACAGAAAAAACATTCGGGGCTAAAGCCCCGGATGCCCAGGCCAGGCGACGCCACTGGCGGGAAGTCTTCTTTGCTGCTTTTGTGGCAGACTACAGCGCCACTTACAGGCCTGGCATATGTACTACAGCGTCTCCAGCGCTTTCGAGCGGCAATGGCCGGCCGTGGCCCAACCCCACATTCCCCTGATAGGTGGAGAGTTGGCCCAATAGCCGTAGCGCCACTTCTGTGACGACATAGAAGTGTTCAAATCTGGATCAGTCTGTATCAGATCCGTTGCAGCCCCTTTTTTAGAGATTTGAGTATGGAGGAAAATAGAGAGGGTTGTGTTTTCTGACACTTGGTGAGTTCCCTGGAACACCGGGGACGCATATTCATGTATAAAAGACGTACAAAAGTGCATTTTGCATGATAGGTCCCCTTTAAGTAAAAAGTACCCATAACTACCAGCTGTTTTATAGAGTAACTGACCTCGCTTTATATTAATAGAACAATAATGTCATTGTTAGCTAATGAATGTTTCGATGCTGAACAACGGCAAAATGACAACGTTTTCATTGGTCCCTCTTCTTTAGAGAAGACCAGGAAATGATGGATACACGGATCGTGTTAAAATCAATAGGCACGCAATGACTCTAAATAATAATGATCACGCCACCAAACACAAAACAGGCTGGTTCCTTTAGTTTTACTAAAGGAACCAGTGTAGTGATCACTAATTAACAGGGTTACATAATTCAATCCAGGAACTACAGGTTGGGGGTATTGTTTCCGCCCGGACATATATGTTGACGGTACCTCCGGGGTACCTACTGTGTGTGTGTCCCTTTCACTTTCTCTTCTCATCTCAGCCTGCGACCTGACAGCATGTCAATTTCTGCTGCTCAATAAAGTGAGATTTGCACCTTCGATGCACCGCCTCTGACTCCCTTCTCTCGGCACTACATTGGTGACCCTGACATAAGTCTCGCGAAGGTTCCGAGACTGAACCGAACACGGCAAAAAACTCTTGTTTTTCTCGAAATGCCGGAGATTTTTGGAGACCTCCGTGGCTGCCACGTGCGCTCGGACTGAGGATCGGTGCGCCCCACGGAATGGCTGACCATTCCCGCTTCGTCTCGGCGCTGGAGGGCAGCAAGCCTTCCTGCTACGAGGAGACGATGCACGACCTGCTAGGTATGGAGGGACCCGACTTCTGCCTCGTGGAGCTGGTTCTTCGGGACATGCGGCTGCATGTCCAGGCTGCGCTAGCTAACTCGGCTAGTGTTGCGCCCCGCACTTTGGCCGAAGATGCTGGCCGGTTCCTCCTGGCCGCCCCGCGATTTACCCCTGAGGTGCT